CCCTCCGCCACCCCCCCCAGGCTGATGGGCTTTGGCCACCGCGTGTACAAGACCTACGACCCGCGTTCCCGCATCATGAAGCAGATCTGCGAGCAGGTGCTGGAGCAGACGGGCGCGATGTGAGATCCTCGGAAGTTTGACAGTCGGGGAGATGCGGCTGGACCACGGCGTGAAATTCGGCGCTTTTGGTGGCGTCGGGCTGGGCGGGGTCGGCGAGCGGGGCCCCTTTGTCATCGGACGCTGTATGGCAAGATGTGTCTCGCGCGCGCTCATGGTTGACCGCGGGGAGTGGCTCCAGCTCGTCGGCGCGCCGCGGCTTTTTCTCGTGCCCTGCCATCCACACCCCCCTCTCCCCGGGGGGCTGCAGGCATCCCTTGGCTCACCCGCAGGTTTCTTCTCTCTCTCTTTTCTCTCTGTCCCTCTTCCACATATATACGTGCGCGCACAAACACAAACTTACGCGCATACACACACTCACACACACACATCCACGCTTCACCCCCCCCCCCCCGCAAACCCCAGCAACGACCCTCTGCTGGAGATTGCAATGGAGCTGGAGCAGATCGCGGTGCGGGACGACTACTTTGGTGAGCCGCCGCCACCGCCGCCGCCATTACAGCCACTGCTCTGCAGACAATCACTGTAATCATCGCAATCCGTTTCCATTTTCTCTCGTCTTTCACATGGGCCTGACGTTTTTTTTACCGCGCGTTTCCAGGGAGGGCGCGTGCTCAGGGGCACAGGAGGCGCCGGCGCTGGCCAAGGCGGCCGGCCAGCCTCGCTCGGCACGCCACGCGGCACTTGAGACAGGTCAAGAGCTCCAGGCCCTCGCCCGAGCTTGCATCCTCACACATCACCTTGTCACACCTCACATCACATCACCTCTTGTTCTGTTTCATCAGATCGTATCATCTCGCAATTTTGTCATCTCACCCCATGTCATCTCATCACAAACCACCCTGCCTGGTCACAACTCATACCCCCCCCCCCCCGCAGTCAAGCGCAACCTGTACCCCAACGTCGACTTTTACAGTGGCATTGTGCTGCGCGCGCTGGACATACCCGTCTCCATGTGTGAGCCCCCCCGGCCAGCCCCCAAAACAGGGCCTGAGAGACCACACACGGCCCCAAAGGGCAGGGTGCTGACGCCCTGACTTCTCCACAGCCCCTGGAAAACCCGAGCGCCGGGAAGGCTGTCTTGGCATCAGCAACTCCCCGGCTTTCGTGCCCACGAACATTGTGACAGTTGCACCAAAAACCCACGGTTTCAAAAACCCACGGATCCCGACCCGACACCTCTTGGAATCCTGCCACACTCCCCAACTCCTGTTGAAGCAACCGGCCCCCCCACCCCTCCAAACAAATACATTCAACTCCCAGACACCGTGATATTTGCGGTGGCGCGCACCGTGGGGTGGGTGTCCCAGTGGAAGGAGATGGTCTCAGAGGACACCTCCAAGATCACGCGGCCCCGCCAGGTGCGGTTGTTTACAACATTTACATGACAGCGTGCGGCACGCAGGATGCTGGGTGGAGTACGATGTAGTGTACCGACGCTGCAGAAACCTCGGGGGCAGGGTGCTTCGTTCCAGGGCCCGGACCGCGCGCGAGGCGCCGGCGGGGTCGAGGAGGCCGCCGCCCGCCCGCCTGCCGGCAGCGCGGGGGCGTGCAGGGGACGTGTAACCCGCGCATCCCGCCATGCACGCGCATGTGTGCAGCAGGCACATGCACACGCACCTGCAACACGCCCTGACACTTCACCCGCACACTCATCCACACATGCATTCAACTGCACACACACACACACACACACACGCCTATCCAGCCTCACCTCCAACTTCATAACCTCACCCCCCCACCGACCCCAGATGTACATGGGTCACTTGGAGCGGCAGTTTGTGGCGGTTGCGCGGCGCGGCGACGCATCAGTCATCCCCAACAGCTGCGACCTGGACTCGCTGCTGGAGGACACCGCCGTGTGAGTTGTGATCTGAAGATCTGTGATCTGGGATACCGTGATCTGGGTCACCATGATCTGGTGATCTGGGCTGCCTTGACCGCGGACGCGTCGGGGTCGCCCAGATTGGCGCGTGCGCCTGACTGCTGCATCTGCATCACGGCAAGCACAGCCTTCTATAAACGTAATAGAAGACAGCAGCGCTGCAGCTGCTGCCGCTGCTGTTGCTGGCACCCCACACCTCCTTTAACCGGGCAATCCAGCAGCACTCACTCCCCTCTTATCGGCCCGCATCCTCCTGACACCTTCGCCGGCTGCCGCCGCTGCCACAAATTTTTTTTCGCCCCCTCGCAGGTATGCGGACGGACCCTACAAGCGGGCCGTCTCCGTCCGCGCCGCGCGCGTTGGCGTCTGACGCGCTGCCTGGGCTGACCTGGCGCGCCGCAGCACCCCCGCGACAGGCCTCCGCCTGCCCGGCGGGTCCTCGGCGGCGGCGGCGGCGGCGGCTGCGGAAATGCATCTTGCCCCGCTACGCGACGCCGCGCCGCGCCGTGGGCATTGCCGGGGCCTCGCGTTGCTGGGACGCCCGGGGGCCGCACCTGCGCGCGGCGAGTCGGGTGAGGGGGCCTGGCTCGCCGAGCGACTCGGTCCCTCTTGTGTCTCTGGTGTGACGGGCGCGGCGCTTTCGCACAAATTGTGCGTGTGTAGCGTTGCGGCGCGTGCTTGCAATCCAAACCTATCGGCGCGCCCCGCCCTGCGGCGCCGCCGTTGTCAAACTTGCACAGCCATCGCCACAAAGCGTTGCGCCGCCGTGTGTGGCTGCTCTGGGGCGGCCAAAACAGCGGACTGCGGCTCTATTGCATTGCATGGCAGTGGGTGGACAGTTGTGCGTTGATTGATTACAATTGGGTTGCCTGACGCATGATTGCGCTCGCGGTGCAGGTCGGAGGTTGCTGAGTCAATTGCGTGTCACCCGACCCCTTTTTGTCACCCTCTCTCTCGTTTTCTCTCTCTGTTGTCACCCCTTGCATCCTCATGGCTGGCAGAGGCCGGCCCACAACTTGGGTGTCAATTTTGGGGTCTCTTGCCTTTCAGAGACATCACGCACCGCCCTGTACCCCCCAAGGCCCCTCACACACTGACGGAACCGCCCACATGCGCGCCAGTGTGCTGACTCGGCACTGCCGCCCGCCATCGCCTGTCGCAACAGAACAGCGATTGCCAAGCACGAGGTGGACATCGGATGTGGCTTGGCTGCGGGCCCCTTACGCTCTCGGTGTGCCTTGGCATTCACAATTTTGACAGGCGCCCGCTGCAGACCTCTCACCCTTCAGCTGGACTTGAAGCCTGCAGCCTTGACTGCGCGCAAGGCTACACATACGGCTGCCTGCACATGGCGATCTCAGACCTAGCAATAAGACTTGTGTATAAGTAACTTGTAACAGCTAGCTGCCTCCATATGTTGCTGTACCTGGGTTGCAGTCGATTGATTTCATGATTTTGAAATGCATTTGCTATCCAATGCTATCCATTGCCGCCTGGTAACCCTCACATATAAGCAAGCCCATACGTCAGGGAAAATGCATTTGCTCATGGCAGACCCCCTCCCTTGGATAGGAAGATCACCAGCCACAGGCAGCCACACCTCAAAAGCAGTTGGGTGCTCACACTCATTCTCTTACAATGTACCAGCACACCCTGAGGCACGAAATGCTTTTGGTTTGTTGGAATCTTGACAAACTCTGGAGCGCGCACGTACCTCTTGTACACCGCATGGCACAACGAAGATATCATCGTGCAAAGCTGGGGGTTGTAGCTGAGCGTTGTCAAAGGCGTGAGCCACGCAATTCCCTTCACTTTATCAGCCAGAGCCACCATTAATAGCCCCCAGCTCGAGGCACTGATACAGGCCAAGGTGTCGCCAGAGTGACCCCTGGACCGATGGCACACAGCAGCGAATGCGTGGAACGTCGCGGATTGATAAATATCCAGGCGCAAGTAGTTTTCCCCCTCACTGCTATGCATTCACACCACCCACCACCAGCTGTTGCTGGCGTTGCCTGGCAGCAGCGAGGATTGAGCGTGGCATGGGGGCCGGAGCGTGCATGCGCATCTGGGGCGCGCCCAGGCTGGGGCTGCCCGTGTTCCCATACTTCAAGCGTATTTGAAACTGCACAAAGCAAACAAAAATCGCTCACAGATTTGATTCCCCTCACAGCAAGTACTACCCTTTGCTGGAAGTTGACCCAGCTTGCGCACGGCGCTCGAGCGCCATGCGCACAGAAGGTTTGCAATCAGTGGCGAGCGACCAAGCCAATCAAGTGACGCCTTGTGCCATTCAAGTGACGCTCCATGCCCATTTTGCAAGCTTCATGACAAGAATGAAATTGGGTCGTCTCAATTGGGCGATCCTATTTCGTTCTAGTCTCCTGTAAATCAACAACAAGACTTCCCTTGATGTAGATGATGATGCTGACCAAGTTTGGTTTGTTTCCTGCGGTGTTCCCTGCGTCACGTTCCTGCAAGACACCCCGCCCCATCACGCCGGTCACACGCGCCTGCGCCCCGCCGGCACTGGCTTGGCCGCTGGCGGCGCCTTGGCTGCCGGCGCTGCCGCCTTCTCGCCCGGGCTGGCGGCGAACGAGCCAGCTTTGGGGATCCAGACCTGCGCCGCGTGTTGCGAGTGCATATGTTGTGCCATGCCCGGCGTACTCGTGAATTTGCTGAGGACATGCGTGCACTGAAGCGTGGCTTCGTTGGACGTGACGCCGACGCCCCCTCACACAACGCTGCCAGCACTTGCCGACAGAAAGGGGGGGGGAGGTGTTGCGCGTCTGCCTCCCCACTCCCCTCCCTCGACCCAACACCAATGCAAACAGTCACACTCCCCGCACCTCGTTATGTCTGTCGGTCTTTGTTGTCGGCGCGTCGTAGCCGCCATAATACCAAGTGCGCGAGTCAAACGGCTCGCTCGCCGCCTTGAGCGCCTTGACCAGCTGGTCACGCTTGGCCGCCGCGATGGAAACGTTGCTGTAGCCGCCGTATGAGAGAACGTAGACATCGATGGCGGGCGCGGTGGCGGTGAACACCGACTTGTCTTTGGGGGCTGGCGGGGGGGAGGCCTGGGGGCGGTGCCAGTAGGGTGAGGTGACGAGGGGCGGCTGAGCGGCTGTGACAGGTGGGGATGGTTGGATGCGCGCGGAGGGTTTGGGGCAGAGCAATCCCTTGATAGACTGGATGACATCCCTCTTGCCGCCGGCGATGAGCGAGCTGCTGGTTGCGCTGGTCGAGCTGACTCAACACAGCAGCCCGTTCCGTGCTGTTTGCAACAGCTTTGGATGATACAGCACACCCAGCTAGGCAGGCTTCAGGCTCAACTCTTGGCCTGCATTCGCCTACCTTGCCCTTGGAATCGACGAAAAACGAGACCGTGAAATTGCTGCCCTCAACCTTGTTGATAACGGGGACAGTCATCTGGATCTGCGATTACGTGTGAGGGCAACACCAGGCTGCATGTATTAGTCCATGATGCAATTGCGCATGCGTACTGTGTGCGTGCGCGCGCGCGTGTGTGCGTGCGTGCGTGTGTATGTATGTGTGTGTGTATGCTCTGTTGTTTGCATGGGTGCGCGCGTGCACGTGCGCGCGTGTGTGCGTGCACAGGTGGGGGTATGGCTCTTGTTCAAGCACAGGCTGCAACCTGAGATGCTGAGGCGCTCCAAAGTCTGTATACCACGCCAAGCCGTGCACGTGCAAGGTCCGGTCCCGAGCGAGAGTGAGCATCTGCACCCCGGCGCACCTGCTGCTGTGCCTTGTTGTTGCCTGAGATGTACGAAAACTGATCACCAGTCGGGGGTGAAGCGCAGAGGCGGGGCAGGGCATAGGCAACGTGTGCAGGCGCGGGGAGGGGGCGGGTGGACCGCGTTGGGACACCCAGTTGCAAGCATACTTGCTCGTGAGGCACCCCCATCCAAAAGACAAGGTCGAGGTCTCGCTGCTTCACGCATTTGGGTGTTGCTGCTGTAAGTGGAAGCCGTAGATTGCGCAGGCCCGGCGCCCGGCCGGACGCGGCCGGCGTCATCGCCCCACCAGCCGCTGGAAGGAGTCTGACGCGTCGGTGTCAGTGCCAGTGGGGGCCTTTGTGGAGACGTAGGTAGCTGAGGGGTAAGGGGTGGGGGTGTGGATGCGGCAGCGTTGTAAAATGACGGCGGCCTGTGACGGGTGCGAGGCGGGGTGACCGGCGCCCCTGAGCGGTGCCGAGCCCCCTGACCACCCTTGCTGTGCACACGCGAGCGTACTGGCGCAGCGTCGCCAGGCTTTGCAAGTGGATAGCATCCACTGTGTTCCAAGGCCGCCCGCCGCCCACCGCCACAACAGCTTGCTGAGCGTGCCGGCAGCGCCGCTGCTGCCAAAGCACCCAGGAGCCCCTCCCCCCACACGTTTCCAGGCCACGCTCGCGTGAGCCCCCCGCCCAGCACGCCCAGCACGCCCAGCACGCCCAGCACGCCCAGCACGCCCAGCACGCCCAGCACGCCCAGCATGCCCAGCACGCCCAGCACGCCCAGCACGCCCAGCACGCCCGCGAACGTACCGGGATCATAGCGGCGCAGCTCGATGTTGCCCCCGATCTTTTTGAGCACTGTGTACTTGGGGCAGCCAAGGCCCTTGCAGAACGAGGGAGACTGCAGCACACATGGTTATGTCGTATTGAAGGGTCACATATGTCACAATGTAGGCTTTGGGGTGGTCCCAGCGTCCAGCAGTTGTGAAGCAAAATGGAAAGATGCGGCCTTCCAAAGAAAAAGCGTATGATGTCATGTTGCGGCTGCAAGGCTCATGCAATTTTTACGCGCAAATGGGGCCAACATGCTGCTGTGCGGTGTGGGGGGTGGGGCACCCTGGCCCCTTCACCACCGCCGCCCTGCGTCGCACCTCCTGCTTTGTGCCGCCCTGTGCAGCGGCGACGACCACCAGCAGTGCGGCCACTGCCAGGTACATGGTGGGATAGGTTTGCATAATTGACTCTGTACACTCCACTTCGTGTACTGGTCGCGCCTTGAACGCTAAAAACTCCAACGGGTGGCTCGGCGTGAATGCGGGTGACGACGGCGACGCGTACTTGTGAAGGCCGCTGATGAGAGCATATGCCTCGACGAGTGACAAACTCAACAAAAATTTATTTGAAAGACAGTGGTACAGGTTATGAAAGGATCGCGAGAGCATCCCACCGCGCCCTCCGCACACCAGTGCCGCTGATGTGTTGCGCCGGAGTGACATGGCTCTTCAGAGTCGCCTGCAGACTACGGTATGACAATGACAACGGCAATTCCATTGCTTCGGCTGCAGGATTAGTCATTGGCAACCATGCTGCATAACGGTGTAGTGATATGCATGTGCGGCACTCTATTCAACCCGTCTGACCCGCACGGTCTTGTGCAGTTAACGGCTGTTGCGACGGCTGCGTTGTTACAGCACGCAGCAGCCACCTGTTTGAGGATTTCAAGTCATGCGTGTGCGTAGGCCGGAGGATGTGGGTGCCTGAGTTCCTCATTTTATTGGGCGGCATTTAGGCAGGTTGAAAGATACAAGGGTCGTGCTGTGCGCCACCCCCATGGATGCAGGAAGGCGTCTGCAGCAACAGGAGCACAGCACCCCTGCTTGGTGAAATGCAAGGGCCCAAAATGATGCCACGCTGCCAGCCCAACATAATCATAGATCCCTGCGTGTGTGGGCATGCCCCCATCACGTCCCACCCCTCACCCCCGGCACACCTGCAAGCAAAGCAACAGCCATTGCACAAGACCTGCCAGGGGCCAGACCCCAAGCAGTCGTGCAGCGCGTGCACACGCCCAGGCCGACCTGGAGTATGCACTTGAATTCCACTTCATAATTGACACCTGTCTAAACAATCAGCAACGGCTGTCTCTCTCTCTCTCTCTCTCTCTCTCTCTCTCTCTCTCTCTCTCTCTCTCTCTCTCTCTCTCTCTCTCTGTGCCGGCCCTGCTGCTTTCTCAAGCTGCCGTGAACGTTGTGAGTGGGCAGTGCGGGAACAGTGCTGCTTACACCAAGGTGGCACGCAGCAAACAGCCACAAGAACTATGTTGGGGGCCAAAGCATGACAAGCAGCATCTTACACAGCAACAGCATTGTATGTGGGGACGAAAGGTGCGTTGCGGGACACAAGGACATGGTCTTGCATAAGAGACGCAAGGGACAGGTCCGTTTTAGGGGGCAGCTGGCGCATGATGCGTTTGGGCGGGCGCAGGGCGTCCGCTGGGCGGGCGCAGGGCGTCCGCTGCAGCCAGACCAGCCTGCAGCCTGGGCTTCCTCCCGCACCTTGAGGCGGCGCGGCGCCGCCCCCACCGGCCGGAGTCCGCGCCCAGCCGTTGGCCGCCCGTGGCTGAGCCAGTTGCTCTCGACAAGCCTGCGCCCGCCGCCCGCGCACCCTGCACTTGCGCCCGTGCCCCATGTGCCCGCAGCTCCCGGCCCACCCCCACCGCCATCAACTTCCTCGCAACTCAAGGCGCCCATGCCTGCATTCGCGCTGCACGGCCACGCCCGATAGCAGTGGCAACCCCACCTGGGCCAACACCATAGGACTCCATCAGCATGTGCCCGTGTCCGTGCCCGCGCCACACGCCACCGCAACACAAAACCACCACAGCTGGACAGCTCGAGCGCTCACGGCCGAGCTGAGGCCCCACAGCCACACCCGACAACAAGCGCGGTTTGCGCTCCGCACCCGATGCAGACCCGCGCCCGACCGCCCGACCGCCCGTGCGCCCGTGCGCCCGTGCGCCCGTGCGCCCGTGCGCCCGTGCGCCCGTGCGCCCGTGCGCCGACGCACCTGAGCACCACGGCACCATCGCACAGCTGCTCCCACGTCCGCGCCCGACAACGCTGCCTGACGAAAAGACATTATAAGTTGTCACGTAACCCCCTGCCCTGCAGCTCGAGCTGCGCTATGCCCCCTGTCCTTTCCCGCACTTAAAGTACCGCAGCCCAAAGGCCGCACATATTTCCTGACAGTTACAAGATCCCGTGGTGTGCAGGCAAAAGAGCGCGAGGTCACCGTTGTTTGCAGGTCACACGCGCTCGTAACTTTGTACCATTTGCCTACTGTAGTATCGGTCTCACTTGTACGGCATTGCGGGATGCAGACAAGCGCGGCAGGCAATACCATCGCGGCTTGAAAGGCTGCTGGAGTCTCGAGGGGTACACCTATAATACTTATCATATAGCTACAGCTCTAGGTGGGTGCCGGCAAGACAGCGGATGCCCCGCCGCAGCAGCGCCGGGCCACCTGCCACCAGCTCAGCGGACACGCAGCCGACGCTGCACGTCCACCTCGGCGCCGCAGTGGCGCGCGCTCATAGCGCGCCTTGAACCCGTGCGACAGGAACACATTCTGGCACCCTGCATCAACCCTGCCCTTTCCTTGCTCTGCAGCTTTTTCTGGACGAGGCTGAAGGCTCCTGCATTGCTGCTAGGTAGGAGCGCCCTGGATGTCGGCGCGCTGCTGGCTCTATTATGACAAGCAGCACCACATGGATGATGCAAGATGTCATTCCTGTTGTAATCGGCATTCAACAGCAGTGTCTAGTCCCATCAGCCCCACTGGCAGCGTCGCATGCGCCTTTGCCTCTTCATCCCACGCCCATGCAGCCTGTGCGGCAGGACACGATGGCAACGACTGTGGAGGAGAAAAAAAAACGCACAAGTGGAGCTAGTCATAGCAGGCCTGGACGCCGAGCTTAAGCAACTGGAGGGCCAGCTTGAGGAAGTGGATGACCCTGAAAAGCGAAGGGTCCTGCAGCGGCAGCTGGCAGATTGGCAGGGGCAGCTTGCAGCTCTGCAGCAGGAGGTGGTACTGCTTCGACGACAGCAGCCAGGTGCGGCTCGGTTGCGCACATGGCGCATGCGAGCCCGACAGCTCTGTGGATCATGCTATGCATCCAGGCAGTGTGCAAACTGCTTGACCAAGCTGCTCGCCTTGCGGAACAGGCAAGGCATGGCGCGTTGCCACAGCCTGCTCGCAGCAGGCTTGCGCAGCGCAGTCACAAGGCATATGGGATCAGCCACCTGTTGACAGCCCAGCAAGGCCGATGATCTAGGCACGTGCTGTGGCGGCTCTGCGATCAGGCAGCATCGCACTCGGGGACAGCTGGCAGCAAAGCGCATGTTTTGCGCTCACTGCGCCGCAGTACGAATGCTGCCCGCGTGCACGGCGCTGCCCACGCCGCGCGGCGAGGATGCCCACGCTGCAACCCTGCTTCCTCCACCCTGCACCTGAAAGTCCCGAGCTAGCAGCACCCAATCGCCGCTGCTGCCCCTCATCCCTCTCCCCCCCCCCCCGCCCTTATCGTGCCCTAC